CGGAAAAAAAACCGAAAACCCGAAAAAACTCGAGAAAAACCGAGATTGAAAAATTCGACTTTGTTGGTTTGGTTTGGTTTATAAATTTAAAACCCGACAGCGTTGGTTTGGTTTGATAATTAAAAAATCTGAACCAACCCGACCTATGTACACCCCTAAAGAGAATCGAAAGAAACGTCCAACTAAAATTTAGTAAAGTTAAAAGCAATTCTTTAATTAATTAATTAAAATATCACTAAAGAAAAGCTAAACATGAGATTTCTGAAAATGTGATCATCAGAATTCAACGCAAAAAGTTCTATAAATATTACTACTATTTAGCTACCTAACCTCTTGCTAGTTTAGACTGTGATTTTATTCAAAGTTTGTTAAAGTAAGCAAAAAGAAAAGGAAGGAAGAATGGACCAGTAACTAACTTATACTTTATTAGAGTTTTATTATTGTCTTTGTTTGTTGCTATATTTTTGGTATTTGAGTAAATTCGTGCACGTCTTGACTATTTAGTTATATATTTATTACCTCATAACAATATATGTTTCGTATAAATTTTGTATATTTAAATTTAAACAGATTGTATTTATAATACTTTCACTCGAAAACAATCACCTATACTTTTTGCTTACTTTGAGATTTGAACCATATATAATTTCATAATTTTTGTGTATCCTATAGACCACACACTTTCATCTACATTTCATATATATATATTGTTAAATTTTTCATTATTGCTTATCTCGAATGATTCAAAGTCAGAAATTAAGAGAAATCACTCATGTGAAGATAAGAGTGTTGCAAAAGTCGAATTAGATGGAGTTAGGTAATACTCCTTTAATTTGGCAACATTCTTTTTTCTTTTTTGTCTATTTCCTTTTTTTATGTTACACTTTTTGACGGGGTTCCTTTACTCTCCACTTTTCCAATTAAGGGAAAGAATGCCCTTTCTTTCTAAATTAGGGAGCTAAAGTAGTTATATATATACTTTATCCGTTCACTTTTAATTGATATGTATACTAAAAATAAATTTTTATTTTTACTTGTCATTTTACGCATATCGAGAAATCATGCCAAATTTTTTTTTTCTGTTATACCCACAGTATTTATTACTCATTTCAAATAATTTTCTCAAATCTAATAAAATATGCATCAATTAATATGAGTATCATAGTAAATTATGCACTTCATTTATTATTTGTTAAGGGGCGTGAAAAATCAAAACGTGTCAAGCAAAAGTAGACGGAGGGAGTACCTAACAACAAATCGTAGCAAGATACTGCCTTAAAAGCATCAATTATCCAATGCCATACTTTTGAATCGTTGATTCATTTGTATTACATTACCTCTAGTTTATTTCTCAATGGTATTTCAAGAAACTGACCACTTCTTTTCTTAAATTTCGTTTTAGTTAGGAAATTAAGAGAAGTTCAAATTCAAGCACTTCATTCAATAAAAGAGTGTGTTCTTCTGATTAATTTGGTTGGAACTTGGAAGTACTTTCTCATTAATTTGGTACGGGGTGAAGCTATAATAGTCAAAGGATAGTAAGTTGGAACACTCTTTATTGAAAAATTATTATGAATTATATAAGTAAATTGCGTTCAGTGAAATTTCTAACATCGTCGCTAAATTTGGTTATGTATTTTCAGTCCGTGTATAAGTGGGATGTGTCATATGGTGTAATATGGCTATTATTTTGCTAAATGGAATCCATCTCACATAAGCATACAAAGTGTATACTTTATTGTCAAATATTCTTTGGGACCCAAAAATATTGCATTGTGTGTTGGACATCATTTGCACAAGTTGTATCTCTTCTTTTACACCTAAGAGGTCAAGACTTTTTTGCCTATAAAAGGGAAGGCCATTAGTTCATTTTAGACACACCAACAAGACTTGTCTTCATTTCTTGTTTCTTCCTTTCTTCCTTTATTAAGAGTGTTTTGTATGAGAGTTAAGTGTTGGNACACACCAACAAGACTTGAGTCTTCATTTCTTGTTTCTTCCTTTCTTCCTTTATTAAGAGTGTTTTGTATGAGAGTTAAGTGTTGGGAAGCACTTATGTGAACCCTTTCTTTGGAGTGATCTTGTGAGGTTATTCTCTTAGGGTATTTGAGATTAATTAGAGTGTTTACTCTAATTTTTCTCTTTTGTACTCTTATTGTTATAGTAAATTGCTCATCTCCGCTTGTGGACGTAGTTCACTTTGACCGAACCATGTTAAATTTGTGTCTTCTTTATCTACTTTAATTGTCGTTGTTATCAACTTTTATTGTCTTTGTTATTATCATTATACCGTTGTTTGGCTAAATTTCGCACTACCCGGGTTCCCGATCCTAACAAATTGGTATCAGAGCCGGATCTAACCGGGTTAGTTTCAACAGCCAAAATGACTCTAATAAAGACCTATGTTGAGAAATTTGACCGAAGTGTAAACTTCGGAATGTGACAATTAAAGATGGAAGCTATCCTAATTCAGGATGGCTTAGACTTGGCATTGCAAGAAAAGGAGAATAAGCCGGATAAAATGACGGACGAGGAGTTTGCCATCATAGACAAAAAGGCAAAAGCAGGTATCATTTTAAATCTCTCAAATGAGGTTTTACGTGAAGTTTCTGTAGAAACCACAACTAAAGGCATGTGGGAAAAATTGAAAACCTTATATATGAAGAGGACGGTGGAAAATAGACTTTACCTGAAGCAGAAGCTTTATACAATTCGTATGGGTGAAGGTACCTCTATTCTCTCTCATCTTGACACCTTTGATTCCATTCTTATGGATTTGAGTAATATAGATGCTGAAATTAAAGATGAGGATCAAGCCGTGTTACTGCTTTGTTCTCTACCCCCATCTTTTAAGCATATAAGAGATACTATGCTTTATGCAAAGGATAATATCTCTTATAAGGATATTAAATCTATCTTAAAATCAAAAGAACAGATAGATAGTGATATTACTGGGGAAGCTAGTGGAACTCAAGCGGAAGTTGGCTTGTTTGTTAGGGGCAAATCCGACTCCAATTCCAGATACAATAATTTAGAGTGTCGCTATTGTCATAAGAAAGGTCACAATATCTCTGAATGCTATAAACTGAAAAATAAAGAAAAGCACAAAGAAAGAAAAAATGAGCACAAAAATACTGACACCGCCGAAGCTAGTGTAGCAACTGATGAGATTGAGGGAACTATATTTTTAGCAACTGAAACTAGTTTCAGATTAGACAATGAGTGGATTTTAGATTCCGGTTGTTCATATCATATGTGTCCTAGCAGGGACTTGTTTTCTACATATGATTCAGTTGCAGGTGGAGTTGTCCAATTGGGTAACAATGTTACTTGTAACGTTATTGGCAAAGGTACAATTCGGGTCAGAATGCACGATGATGTGGTGAGAACTCTCACCGATGTTAGATATGTTCCTGAGTTGAAGAAAAATCTCATCTCTCTAGGCACTTTAGAATCCCTTGGGTGCAAATTCACTGGTGAAAGTGGAGTTTTAAAAATTTCTCAAGGTGCTCGTTTGATCATGAAAGCACACATATCTGGTTCGTTGTATACTTTATTGAGATCCACTGTTATAGGTCCTACTACAGTTTTGGTATCAGACAATTTGTCTGATTTTGATGGCATTAAATTTTGACATATGCCCATTGGGGCTTTTGCGGAGAAGGTGGAGCAAATTTACTATATCATCCAAAATTAGGCCAAGGTGGAGATTTGTAATATGGCAATTATTTTGTCAAATTGAGTCCATCTCACATAAGCATAAGCATCTTTGCAAAGTGTAGACTTTGTTGGCAATATTCTTTGGGACCCAAAAATATTGCATTGTGTGTTGGACATCATTTGCACAAGTTGTATCTCTTCTTTTACACCTAAGAGGTCAAGACTTTTTTGCCTATAAAAGGGAAGGCCATTAGTTCATTTTAGACACACCAACAAGACTTGTCTTCAATTCTTGTTTCTTCCTTTATTAAGAGTGTTTTGTATGAGAGTTAAGTGTTGGGAAGCACTTGTATGAACCCTTTCTTTGGAGTGATCTTGTGAGGTTATTCTCTTAGGGTATTTGGGATTAATTAGAGTGTTTACTCTAATTTTGTACTCTCTTTTGTACTCTTATTGTTATAGCAAATTGCTCTTCTCCGCTTGTGGACGTAGGTCACTTTGACCGAACCACGTTAAATTTGTGTCTTCTTTATCTACTTTAATTGTCGTTGTTATCAACTTCCATTATTTTTGTTATTGTCATTATACCGTTGTTTGGCTAAATTTTGCACTACCCGGATTCCCGATCCTAACATATGGCGGTGACGCTTCTTGCTTTTACGTGCTAATTTGAAGTTCATACTTTCTTTAATGCAAAGTGTATATATAATTACGTGTGGATATCTACTATTCGTTTCTTATTAAAGTAGCTTTATGCTTGTATTAATTACTAATTAGCATGTCTAGTCTAGTGCGTGACTCTGCTGAGTAGGATATTCATTACGTAGAGAATCATGTATATCTATAACCACTAAAACCCTTGTGTTAAGGGAAAAAAGGAAGAAACAAAAAAGAGAAAAAGTAGAACAGCATATATAGTTTCTGGTTACTTCTTTAGTTCTTTAGTACCTAACGTGCATTGTGTGTGTGTTTTTATTGCCAATGATAAAAGGAGTAATATTCATAAAACATAACTATATCCTTTTCACCACGTCATAGAACTTTGTTTTGTAACATAAAAATCACATTTTCACCTTTAACAACAAAATGTTGGGTTGCATGGGTTAATTTGTGATACAACTTTTTTGTTACTATGGTGAAAGTCTCTGTCCTAGTGCAAGCATTAGTTATTGCTTTTACAACTCGAACTCATGATGAATACGTCACACAGAGACAACTTTACCATTGCACCAAGATTTCCAACAAAGATGGGTGGCAACCTCACCTTAATTAATCAGACTCCATTTGTTATAGATTTTGTTATCCTTCCATTATATAAATGTTGGCTGTTGTGTATCTTCCACTATAAACATCCCCACCTGAATTTTGACAAAATTAAAGGTGCATGCATTCTTGTTCCCATCTTTTTTTCTAGTTGCTAATGACGTATAACTCCACTTCTCAAATCTCAACACCCTATCTTTTAAACAAAGATAAATCCATAAGCAATTCCAACTCTCTCAAAAACAAAGACCAAGAGAAACTCTCTCTGTGAGAAATTGAAATCAATATGGGTGCCATTAGTTTCTTGGACACCATATTAGTCCCCTTGAGTCTTTTCATCACAATTGGCTATCATTTCTATCTTTGGCACCACTTGAAGCATAAACCTTCTCGCACCACCATTGGTATGAATATACTCAAGAAGAGATCTTGGCTGCGAGAGCTCAATCAAGCAAGTCTTCCTTTTCATTCTTTAGTTTTTAATTTCAATTAATTATTTATGAAGAGAACCTTAGAGCAACGATAAAGTTATTTTCATGTGACTTATAGGTTACATGTTCGAGCCATGAAATCAGAGTGCTTGCATCATGGTAAGTTGTCTATGTTACACCCCTTAGGGGTTGTTTGGTACGCAGGATAGTGAGATAAATTTATACCATCAACCAAACACAGTATAAATTTAATCTCAAATTTAATCCTGAATATTCCCTTATCCTATCAAACTTGGGATTATTTTATCGCACCTCTCAGGTGGGATAAAGGGAGGTGGAATAAATTAGTCCAGAGATTACAATCCAGGGACTATAATCCAGGATAATTTAGTCCGCATAGAAAATGACTCCTTAACATACGGCCGTTTCCTGATGCGCTTTCTGAAAATAACTTAAATAGGTATTTGAGCCAGCTCGAAAGATCTCTGCTTGAACACGCACAAGGTGGTTCGTGCATCGGGCAGTCCTTTATTTACTAAGAGTCTAATGAACAAAGGCGGATCTAAATGTTGCTATAGGGTTCAATTCTGTTTCAACTCTAACTATGTATACATATACAAAAAGAAAATTAATCTTACTCATTCTTAACCCGCTGACTCTAGATCTTGAATAAGCCTCCGTTGATGATTTATTAAGTTTTTTTTTTTGTTTGTGTGTGGCAGGGAAACGAGAAGAAAGGCACGTTAGCTGTACAAAGCTTAAGAAATGCACTAATGGAAACAATACTCACGGCAACAATCACAATGATCATAACTTTAGCATTGGCAGCTCTAACAAACAACACTTACAACGTGAGAAACCTCTTTACTAGTGCTTTCTTTGGATCACAAACAGGGAAGATAATCGTGTTGAAATATGGCTCAGCAACTATTTTCTTGTTGGCAAGTTTCTTGTGTAGTTCTTTGGCACTTAGTTGTTTGATCGATGCTAATTTCTTGGTCAATGCATTGGGGGAATTTTCCATAAATCCAATGTATACAGAGACAGTATTTGAAAGAGGATTTACATTGGCTTTTGTAGGGGATAGAGTGCTTTGCATGGCTTTTCCTCTTTTGTTATGGATGTTTGGCCCTGTGCCTGTGGTTGTGTCTTCTTTGGCTTTGGTTTGGGGATTACATGAGCGTGATTTTGCTGGAAATTTGTCAAGAACTATGAATAAGAGTTGTATTTGAATAAAAAAAAGTTTCTAGTGTTGGTTATTAATATTAGCGTATGGATCTCTTGATTTTCTAGTGTGGCAAGTGGGCCGGGCCGGGCCCTAAACGGTCCGGTCTTGTGGGCCACGGTCCCGGTCCTTAAATAAACGGGCTCGGACTAAGCGTGCTTTTTGTAGGAACCGACCCGGGACCGGGCCCACAAACTCAAAGTCCCGGGCTAAAAAGGTCGGGCCCGCGGTTCCAACGGCCTAAACGGGCCCAACGGCTAAGCAGTAATTTTTAAAAAAATTAAATAAAAATTAAAGACAAAAAGATGTTAAAAGAATATCTAAGGCAATGCCTTGTAAATTTATTATAGAATTGTGACCTAATTTTTTTATTCAAATTTAAAGACAAAAATATTGTAAAAAGATATTCAAAATAATGCCTTGTAATTTTATTATAGCAATAAAAAATATGACAATATCTTTCATAGAATCAATTACAAGTTGATAAATTTTCTCACTCTGTGAAAAATGAGCAAACAAATTTGCAAGTTCTGCAATATAAACTAAACAGTTAGACTTAAGAGTTAGAACGAGATCACCAAATTGACGAACAACTTGTTGAAAATTGATTATCGTCGAAAACTTGAAAACTTCAATTCACTAACTTCACAATGTTTTCATAAATTGTAACAACCTCAATATTTTTTGACTATTTTTTGGAATAAAGTAAGTAATAGTAGTAATCTCACATTTTTTTTTGATAAAATAAATAATTGTAGCAAGTATAGAAGAAAATTAGAGCGATAGTTTGATAGATTGATGTTGATTTTTTAAGAAAATGAATGAATGAGGGAGTATTTATAGTAGAAAATAGAGAAAAAGTGTAATAATAAAAAGTTTGAGGTTAAAACTAAGGGAAGAGGGGTTAAAATTTTTAAATATCCAACAACTATTTTTTAAACCCCTAACAACTCTTTTTTTCAAAAGCCAAACGACTATTTTTTTAAAAAAAAAAATATCCGTTAAGCCCGCCAAGGGACCGGTCCGGTCCTGGTCTCTTGGCGGGCCTAACGGGCTCGGTCCTAACGGTTCCTAGCTAAGAACCGGCCCACGAGACTGGCACGAGCCCACCTCTAGCGGACCTAACGGTCCCAACCCGTTTAGCCTGATAAGCCCACTTAGCCCGCGAGCCCGGGCCGGTCTCGGACCCGGCTAGGCCCACTTGCCACCCTTACCCATACCCATTGCCCTATATCAAGTTACCTTCTTTTTTGGTATTTATTTTAAAGAACTATTTGAGTTGAAGTGAAATAAAAATTTAAATCTGGGCGCACAATTTTACGTGCAAGTAAGGAAGAAAAATGTAGGAGTTAAAAATGGGAAAATAACATATTTGTTATAAATAGAATTATATTTAAGGTGAATATCTATATTTTAGAGAGATTTTAGGGTTTGTTACTTGGTGGCTATGTAACTTTTCCCTATAAATAGAGGGGTTCTATTCCATTGTAATTCATCCAAATCAATAAGAATTCTCTCTCTATACTTTTTTCTACAATAGTCTTCTTCTTTTTTTATTGTTTTATTACACGTTATCACCACGAGACTCTAACCAATTGAATAGAGGCATCTGCTTTGGTCACCAAGCTTTGGGATATGTGCATGGTGTTCAACTTGTACATAATATTGAACATAATGATTGCCAATTGATCCATGAACTTCCTTGATGAATAAATTCTGGATTTAAGGTAAGAATTTTACCTTATTTTTCTCTTTTAAATTCTTGAAATTCTATAATTTGATTTTAAATACAAGAAAAGACAATATATTTTGATTATAATTCTAATAGAATTTGTAAGAAATTATAACCATCCGAAGTGGTAAAATTTTTATGTCTTTCTATTCATGTATGATTATGAGCATAAGAAGTGGAAATTCGTCCCATTGAATTTGCTTAATTCTCGTTCCCTTAAGAGAATGTGGTAGCAATATGTAATAAGTATGAAAGAAGACAAAATTATTACCGTAAAAGTATCAATGGATGTGGATATGGCAATAGACGAAATTATAATGGTTATCATTGTGGTAACGAGAACAATAAGGATTCTCAAAATGATCAAGAGTGAAAGTAGTGTTTTCATCAATTTGACATGAGATTATGTAAATCACATATGGATGATTATGGTCCATTCATGTTGTGAATGTTACAACATCTGATTTATGAATACATATTCATTCTTGAAAGAATATGAACGTGCTAGTGGTAGTGAATATACCACACTCACATCTAGAAGGAGGCTTGAGATGAAATAAGAAAATAATTTCATTATTATGGCATTAATGGTCATTGATCACGTATCTATTGTGATTATGCCAAAATATTATGGCAATGTGATTATTACAAGGCAAAAGTAATACAAGCGACATATCTTGCCTATAATGATTTTGACCTTGACTATAATGGTATAACTTTCTCCTTGAAAGAGATATTTACCATATGGATGTTGATGAATATGTGGTTTTACAAAATTAATTGAGAGCTCTTTAAGGGCCAATTATCACTACTTTGGAGAAATAAAATTGATTATCAATAAGGTATTATGTCGTAGTAAGTCTCAAAGAAACTCATTTAGTTTCTAAAGTATTCGCGAAAGCGGTTGATTATATTGAGATTATAAATAAAGGAAAGATTTAATATCTTTTATTACTATAACTTGTAGCGGGATAATATGTATATGAAAAGTTACCCGCTTTATCCTGATTTATAATACACAAATATAAAGATGCCACAATAAAGTAGAAGTTTATTGATATAAAAATTCATATCATAATAAACTTGGAATTTATTAATAATTGCACACGTCATGGTGTAAACCTGAAGTTTATCAATATTGATAATTTATCCAGTTGGCAGAATTAGTTTAGCCATGTTAATTAAATATGATGTGCAACAAAAAAAGAATTCACATGGGTAAACATTAAAGAACTAGAAAGTTCTTTACGAATTCTCTTATGTTGCTTGTTCTCATTAATTAATAGATCAACTAAAATTGGAATTGAATCCCATGAATGCTGGAAATATCAAAGGTGAATATGGGCTCACTCACCTACCATGTATACCACATAAGATTCATCTATGAGATGGTTACATGCACGATTATTATTAACCCGCAACCTAGTGTTTGCAAGGTAACTTGCTCAATAATTTAACTTAGAGCATAATTTCCAGATTTTCTATTCAAGACAGTTCATCTTGATAGGTTGGTTCACATCACAGTTGGTTTAGAAAAATAATCTATTGAGTGCCTCCACTTAATAGCTAAACTATTGCTTATGAGAACAAAGTTATCTATATCAGTTTGATAAATGTTATATACGAAAGTATATTATATTCTCCCCTCACAAGTGGTTCAGGATCAGGAACTAATTAATTTCATATTATTATTATTGATGTGCGGTGTATATTTTGATTAACACCATAACATACAAAGGTGAGTTTTCAAAGTTGAGGAAGCAAGTTAGTATTTCTAACGGGGTGGGTGGGGGTGGGGAGATAAGATAAGCAGGTTTGGAAAAAAGATACGTGCAATGAATTATCATTTATACATTTAGATTCCCGAATAAGATAATATGAACTTGAAATTCATAAAAAAATAATTCATCTACAATATATTGCAAAGCATGCCAGACGCATTTGCTGACCCAAAGAAAGTAACTATATTTTCATTGCAAATGCTCTAATTAGAATAAGTTCTAGAAGGGCAAAGTCTATGGCACGCTTAAAGAGTATAGACAAATCAGTTTCAAATAAAATTCTTGATAAAGAAGATATGCAAATGATCAAAATGATCATAATAAGGAGGCAAGTGATCTAGAAGATCGCGTGACATAACACTTCATAAAATCTCAGGAGAGGTTCAGGTAGCTGAAAATATGAATGAAGAGATATCTATATCATGTCTTTATGAAAAAGTAGGCTGGAACCGATATAAAATGTTCGTCGACTACATCTATGATAACACTAGATATATATGAGGATCTTAACTCTGTAGAAAAAACTCAAGTAGAATTGGTTTTAGATGAAAGACATGTAGATTTGGACTTCCAGTTCAAACAGTTGAAAGTATAAAGTCAATGGTGTGTGCAATCATATTTATCTATCTTATATATCTAGCATGACATAAAAACTTGATATGCATCTAAAGTTTATTCATATGGCTCATATGACTTAACTTATATGACAATCCCTGGAGGATTTAAATTGCTTAAAGCATATGGAATTCTTGGTTATGAAATACTACATCCTAAGTGCAATTTGTGCACATTTGTATCTTGTTATAACTATAAGCATGATAATGTGATAGCAAGAATTATTACCTCTATGGAGATATCGAAAAGATTATTCCACGACATTATATGAAGATATTATATATCTGTCACGACCCGAAATTCTCACCTTCGGGACCGTGATAGCGCCTAACATTTTATTTGCTAGGCAAGCCAATGTTAGAATAATATTAACTATTTTTAAATAATTTTAAAATAATTAATAATAAAGAAACAAATGCGGAAATAAAGTCTGAAATAAAGTGAATAATCCATAATAATAACGATGTCTAAATACCATCCCAGAATTGGTGTCACAAGTGCAAGAGCTACTAGAATAATACAATTAAAGGTCTGGATGAAAATGAAGTTATCCGCAAGTAATACACAGATACGATAAAGTGGAAGGGGACTTCAGAACTGCGAACGCCATGCAGTTATACCTCAAGTCTCCTGTGAATAGCTGAATCCGAGCAGATATACTGTACGCCACTGGGACCAACTTCGTTATTTGCACAAGAAGTGCAGAGTGTAGTATGAGTACAATCGATCCCATATACCCAGTAAGTGCCGAGCCTAACCTCGACGAAGTTGTGACGAGGCTAAGGCAGGTCACTTACTTTAACATGTACGCAATAATAATAATAACAACAATACTAGAAATAAAACATGTAACTCATTTCAACGGCTGAAGCCAACTCGACGGTCATAACCAATTATTATTTTAATCAGT